GGTGTTAGCAATTCTGGAAGGTGTGAAAATAGATAAGTCCCCTGGGCCGGATGGGATTTATCCTAGGATTCTCTGGGAAGCTAGGGAGGAGATTGCAGAGCCTTTGGCTTTGATCTTTATGTCGTCATTGTCTTCAGGAATAGTGCCAGAAGACTGGAGACGAGCAAATGTTGTCCCCTTGTTCAAGAAGGGGAGTAGAGACAACCCTGGTAATTATAGACCAGTGAGCCTTACTTCGGTTGTGGGTAAAGTGTTGGAAAGGATTATAAGAGATAGGATTTATAATCATCTAGAAAGGAATAATTTGATTAGGGATAGTCAACACGGTTTTGTGAAGGGTAGGTCGTGCCTCACAAACCTTATTGAGTTCTTCGAGAAGGTGACCAAACAGGTGGATGAGGGTAAAGCGGTTGATGTGGTGTATTTGGATTTCAGTAAAGCGTTTGATAAGGTTCCCCATGGTAGGCTATTGCAGAAAACACGGAGGCATGGGATTGAGGGTGATTTAGCGGTTTGGATCAGAAATTGGCTAGCTGTAAGAAGACAGAGGGTGGTGGTCGATGGGAAATGTTCATCCTGGAGTTCAGTTACTAGTGGTGTACCTCAAGGATCTGTTTTGGGGCCACTGCTGTTTGTCATTTTTATAAATGACCTGGATGAGGGCGTAGAAGGATGGGTTAGTAAATTTGCGGATGACACCAAAGTTGGTGGAGTTGTGGATAGTGAGGAAGGATGTTGCAGGTTACAGAGGGACATAGATAAGCTGCAGAGCTGGGCTGAGAGGTGGCAAATGGAGTTTAATGCGGAAAAGTGTCAGGTGATTCACTTGGGAAGGAGTAACAGGAATACAGAGTACTGGGCTAATGGTAAGATTCTTGGTAGTGTGGATGAGCAGAAAGATCTCGGTGTCCATGTGCATAGATCACTGAAAGTTGCCACCCAGGTTGATAGCGTTGTTAAGAAGGCGTACAGTATGTTAGGTTTTATTGGCAGAGGGATTGAGTTTCGGAGCCATGAGGTCATGTTGCAGCTGTACAAAACTCTGGTGCGGCCGCACTTGGAGGATTGCGTACAGTTCTTATTATAGGAAGGATGTGGAAGCATTGGAAAGGGTGCAGAGGAGATTTACCAGGATGTTGCCTGGTATGGAGGGAAGGTCTTATGAGGAAAGGCTGAGGGTCTTGAGGCTGTTTTCGTTAGAGAGAAGAAGGTGGCTTGATAGAGACATACAAGATGATCAGAGGATTAGATAGGGTGGACAGTGGGAGTCTTTTTCCTCGGATGGTGATGGCTAGCACGAGGGGACATAGCTTTAAATTGAGGGGTGATAGATATAGGACAGATGTCAGAGGCAGGTTCTTTACTCGGAGAGTAGTAAGGGCGTGGAATGCCCTGCTTGCAAAAATAGTAGACTCGCCCACTTTAAGGGCATTTAAATGGTCATTGGATAAACATATGGATGATAATGGAATAGTTTAGGTTAGATGGGCTTCAGATTGGTTTCACAGGTCGACGCAACATCGAGGGCCGAAGGGCCTGTACTGCGCTGTAATGTTCTATGTTCTATGTTCTACTTTTACTATTTCTTTTGAAATCCGAGGCTGCAATCCATTAAGTCCAGGGAACATGTTGGCCTTTAGTGTCATTAGTTTCCCTCGTACTTCCTCCACTGACAGTTACTATGTTTATTTCCTCTATTCTTTTAGCTCCTTGATTATTTAGTATTTTTGGAATGCTCTTAGTGTCCTATAATATGAACATCGGTGCAGAATATTATTCAACTCCTCTGCCATTTATTAGCTCCCCATTACTATTTCGCCAACCTTATTTTCTAAGAGATCATGCACACTTTGGCTTTTCTCTCGGCTTTTTCACATATTTAAAGAAGGTCTGACTATCCATTTCAATATTACTTGCTAATTTGCCCTCACTTTTTATTTTCTCCCTCTATCAATTTTTTGATCTTTTTGTTGGCTTTTAAAACTTCCCCAAGGCTTCTGGCTTAATTTTTGTCACATTGTATTTTTTTCTTTCAATCTGGTAGTATCCTCAACTTCCTTGGTTAAATCATGGTTAGTTTATCCCCTTCCTAGAATCCTTCTTCCTCACTGGATGTATCTTTGTTGTGAGACGTGAACTATTTTCTTGCTTTTTGAGAAGATTTGTAGCTCAGGTTGTGGATGAGGTGTAGCCTTGCTCGCCGAGCCGGTGGGTTTGATTGCATTCAAGTCTGCAAACTTATTTTCTTACATGTCTGCCATTATTCTTTAACTGTCTTTTCTGCTAAAGTTCTTTCCCAGTCCTCTCCAGCCAACTCTGCCATTATCCTTGCACTGTTACCTGTATTAAGCTCAGCACAATTGTTTCCAATCCACGTTTATCACTCTTAAATTGAATGTGCTGGTAGACAGGATAGTGAAGAAGGTGTTTGGTATGCTTGCCTTTATTGGTCAGTGCATTGAGTATAGGAATTGGGAGGTCATGTTGCAAGCTGTACAGGACATAGGTTAGGCTACTATTCAAATACTGCGTGCAGTTCTGTTCTCTCTGCTATAGGAAAAATGTTGTGAAACATGAAAGGGTTCAGAAAAGATTTATGAGGATGTTGCCAGGGTTGGAGGGTTTGAGCTATAGGGAGGGACTGAACAGACTGGGGCTATTTTCCCAGAGTGTTAGAGGCTGAAGGGTGACCTTATAGGGGTTTATAAAATCATGAGGGACATGGATAGGGTAAATAGACAAGGTCTTTTCCCTGGGGTGCGGGTGCCCAAAACTAGAGGGCATAGGTTTAAGGTGAGGGGGAAAGATTTAAAAGGAACCTAAAAGCGACTTTTTCACTCAGAGGGTGGTGCGAGTATGGAATGAGCCACCAAAGGAAGTGGTGGAGGCTGGTACAATTACAACATTTAGGGGAGGTGATGGTCTAGTATTATCGCTGGACTGTTAATCCAGAGACCCGGATAATGTTCTGGGGACCAGGGTTCGAATCCCGCCAAGGCAGATGGTGGAATTTGAATCCAATAAATATCTGGAATTAAGAGTCTAATGATGACTATGAATCCATTGTCGATTGTTGGAAAAACCTATCTGGTTCACTAACGTCCTTCAGGGAAGGAAATCGCCATCCTCACCTGGTCTGACCTACATGTGACTCCAGACTCACAGCAATGTGATTGACTCTTAACTGCCCTGTGGGCAATTAGGGATGAACAATAAATGCTGCCTAGCCAGCGACGCCTTCATCCCGTGAATGAATAAAGGAAATTTAAAAGGCATCTGGATGGGTAAATGAATAGGAAGGTTTTAGAGGGATATGAGCCAAATGCTGGCAAATGGGATTAGATTTATGTAGGATATCTGGTTGGCATGAATGAAATGACTGAAGGGTCTGTTTCCACGCTGTATATCTCTATGACTCTGCCATGTTACAGTCACTGTTACCCAGAAGATCTTTTACTCGGAGGTCAGTTATTAAACTTGCTACATGATCAGATCTAAAACAGCCTGATTCCTGGTTGGATCAACATCATATTGTTTCTGGAAACAGTCCCAAATACCCTCAGTGAATTCTTTTCAGAGGAAAACAAAGAAAAACACATCCATACAGAGATAGAGCAAGCAGATTTGGTAAAATTCTGGCAACATTAACTATGCAAGAAATAAGTTAGATATAACTTTCAGCAAATATTTTGACACCATCAAAGCATAAGGCTTGCCAACTCTACAAATACGGGTTACAGCAACATATGTCAAATGTGGTGAGCCATGTTTATCAAGGAAAGCTGAACATTTTACATTCCAGGTTCACTGAATCAACATTAGACACATCCAAATCAAGTTTATTGTAAAGCTGTCTGCAGGGTCAATCCCTATCGCTTTATCCCAACAGCAAGTAGAAACTTTGAAAAACAAATCTTAATTTAATGAAAAATAAAACAAAGAACTGTGGATGCTGGAGATCCAGAACAAACAAAAACAGGAATTGTTGAAGAAATTCAGCAGGTCTGGCAGCATCTGTGGAAAGAAGATACAGTTGAGTTTCTCCAGCAAGTTCTGTCTTTGTTTGTTTCTCAATTTATTCAATACGCTGCCAGTTCTATCTGCCATGTCAGCTATGCCTGTGGCCTGATTGAGAATGACATTTAAATAAGTATTTGGGAAAGGCTTCATCTCTTTAGTCTGGATATATTCAAAGCAAAATCCAAATGTTTTCTGGAATGTAAAGAGGATTATTATTACTTCGGAACAGAAACAAATGGTCAGCTACAAATGACAAAATATTTATTTCAAGAAATTTCTCAAACGGGAGATTAGTTTTGTTTGTTTGTAAAGATGGGATGAAAAAGGAATAATTAAAGAAACATTCAAAATTTCAGGCATCTCTAAACTCACAGCACGTTAATTAGGTTCAAGTTGATTCAAGGTTCAGACTTCTGCTACAGTCCCCAATAAAAATTTGTGATATAGAATGGGTTAAACTACTATGACTCTCTTAGCTGAAGAATGCCTGTATCTGTTTATTTTCAGTTGGAACCTATGCAGTGGCAGATGCTCACTCCCACTCTGCTGAGCTTGAGGCTCATATTTTGCTTCAACAAATTGCTGATTTCCAACAGATGGTGACTTGCTCTTAGAAATGACATGACTGACCTCTTGCGTACAAATAACTCTTTTACCATGACAAGATCAGTTTTTAAAAATGTTATGAGCACACAGTCATTCCCACACCCCAACAGTGACTTCTGCTTTACAACTTTCCCAATTTGTTCCTAAGACTTCCCACCCAATCCTTCAGATTTGTCCTCACTCCACACTGTTCATTAATTCTATTACCTGTCCATCCCAAATTCCTTTTCCAACTTCCTTTCCACTTCTATTGGATTAGACTACACTTACCCACTTTCCATTCATTTTAGGCCAAATTTGGAATGGTCACCAGCTAAGATTCTAATTGGCATAAATGGCAGCCGCTGCGGAAATCACTTAATTCACAAACTTACCTTTCCCTCAGATCCAACCTGCTGTTCTGCTTGGATTTGTTGTCTAAAAACGGGATCAAACAGCAGTGGGGTGGCACAGTAATGAACAAGACGTGAAGACTGTTTCAGGGTATCCAAATCACCAAGCTGAATCAGAAAAACATTGAAAGGTTAACCTATTTCCTAATTGCTTATGGCCCAACACGTGTACAGGGACAAACCATACTACGAATAATAATAAAAACCAAAAGAACTGCAGATGCTGTAAATCAGAAACAAAAATTGCTGGAAAAGCTCAGCAGGTCTGGCAGCATCTGAGGACAGAAATCAGTGTTGACGTTTTGGGTCCAGTACCGAAAAATTAAGACGTACTTAAATTAGATACCTGTTCAACTGTTTTATCACACATGAATGGGCCTGTAAAATTAGGAGTCACAATACTTTTGAATAAGTACTCATCTAAAAACTTCTGTATTAAATCTCTTCAGAGGTGATTTTAAATTTACTTTGAATGTCAATAATTTATTTTGAAGTGCAATAAACAGTTCAATACAAGACATTTCCCAAGTATGTCAGGCTATTACTTACTGTAATAGGCATGTTGGACTGGGCAGAACGTTGCTGCCATGTCACAAATAGGTTCTCAATTTTCATCTGTTTCTCCATCTCTAAAAAAGAAATAATCGGAACACATCTTTGGTTTAATTCAAGAATTCTGCACTATGTGCAGCATCCAGCAGAGAACTCACTTACCACAACTCAGCTGAAAAGTACAGCACCAACACACCTGCAAGACTCACCCATGCACTACTCAGGTCAGCAGTACCTCAAAATAATAACATATTGTGCACCTTCATGGGCACTGACAGTTTCATTGAAATAAATTCATAAACCAACCAAGTGAGGATAGCATAGTCGGAATAACACTATATATTCTATGTGTGGACTCTATCTTATGAGAAGCCCAGTGGAAATAACTATTAAAATATCTGCTTGCGAAACGTTGCTTTGTGTAGTAATCAAAAATAACCTCTGCTGAACTAATGTGTAGTCAAATCTGAAAGTGCAGCATCTAATTAAAACTTCTAGTATGAAGTCAATGTAACAAGGGCTACTGGTAGACTTGTGCAAATGGCACGAATATTCCAGGACCTCAACATGGTGCCACAAACAATGCATAGTTTGAGACTTAACTGAAAAAAAAAAATCACAAAAAAAAACTCACAAAAGAGTCAAATGACTTGGCTAATAGCTAGGTTAAACAATATTTCAGCAATGTTTTTTTCTGGTGTGCTGACAGGCAATGAGACTATTGTGAATGATTTGAGTAAATGAAGTGACAAGCATTCAGAATGAAATGTTACATATATAAACACAAACAATATACATCCACAGAAACAAATAGGAGTGCCAGTCATGCACCTGAATGATGCAAAACCTTTAAAAGACTATAGCTTCAGTGGACTCCATTACCTTCTAAAGTTCAATGATGATTCATTTTTTTGAAAATGTAAGTGGATGAGTTCTGAATGAACACATTTTTATTTACAAGAAAAAGCACAATTTGGTTGCAGGTTTTCAGATCAGTCTCATTGGTTTAAAAAAAAGGCTTCTTTTAAATTGTCATATTCAAAGGCAGTTCATGCAATATGCTTATTTAGTTATGGACTAGTTGTCAGTACACTTAGTCTGGAACATTCAGGTTGCTTTGAAGAGCAGTGCTGCAGAAAATGTGCGATCTCTGTGTCTCTCTTACCTCTCCGCTCCAGGTTTTTGATTTCTAGGAACTGTGTGCCATGACGCGAGACGGGGTCATTCAGCCCCACATCGTGTAATTGTCGCATCACTTTAGGTACTGTGACATCACGCAGGGCCTCATCAAATGGAACAATCTCTGGCGGAAAGTGAAGAACTGGAAGACTCCGGTTTGTAGAACTCAGCCGCCCCTGTTCCTTACTTGGTGGCGGGGTTGGGCTCTTGATCAGTGCATCAGCTTCCAATGTGGACTGGAGGAATGGATTTGGTTCCTGTGCGACAGAGGGGAGGTCAGGAAAGAGAGGAAAAAATGGTTCCAGTTTTATGTTGTTTCAGTGGAAATTAAAAATCCAGTTCACCTTTCACAAAAAATGCGTAAGTAATTTTTGCTCAGCTAGAATTGTAGTGACAATAATAGAGGAGCAAAAATGATTTTAATTTGTTCAAAAACTTCATTAGAATTAATATTGTGACTCTTGCGCCAAACTCATGACTGGGAGAGATATTTAGCTAATGCTAGGCCAAGCCCCTGGATGGATCACCAAGACAGCAAACCCCTTCCATTTCATTGAAAAGGTAAACAGGACTAATCCAAAGATTTCAGACCAACTAACCACAGATTGGTAACAATGCACGTCTTCTAGTTGACAGCTTGAAAGAGCACTGCGATCCTGCTGAGACACATTAATGTTAAACTATACAAAGATAAACCATCATAAAATTAGTACCATTATTCACTTGTCTTTTACAGGCAGACTAGCTGAGCCATTTTTCAAACTTGCATATATAGTAATTCTTTCTGAAACTCGATTCTTCAGAGATTATAATCTGTGACAAATTTTATGGATCTAAGGTAACCTTTCATAGCGAAAGTAAGAAAAGTTTGACTGGTCATCTTCAAAAGAAATTGGCTCTCTGTGAAAAGCCTGTACATGAATATTAATGCAAGTACAAATGTTAGAACATAACCTAGAATCATAGAATCCTTACAGTGCAGATACAGGCCATTTGGCCCATCGAGTCTGCACTAACTCTGAACAGCATCCCAACCAGATCCACCACCCACGCTATCCTTCATTTACCGTGGCTAATCCACCTAGCCTACACATCCAGGGACACTACAGGACAATTTAGAACGGCCAATCCGCATAACGTGCACATCTTTGAACCAGTTTAGGAAACCGGAGCACCCGGAGGAAATCCATGCAAACACAAGGGGAGCATGCAAGCTCCGCACAGGCAGTCACCCCAAGCTGGAATTGAACCTGGGTCCCTGGCTCGGTATCTAAAAATTCAAAATGCATTAGATGCAATATTAATCCTTTTGGCATTCCTTCTCCTGTTCCAATTATACATGTTGTATAAATTAATAATAATTAAATGAACGAGCAGTAAAATTCATATCTTCTACTGAATAGAAATCTGAACATAAAAGCCAAACGAATGTTTTTTTAACACATCACTTCATGTGTGATCTAGTTGCAGAAAATTGAAAGCACAGTTGTCTCTAGTGGAGTCTAGCGACGGAATATGAACTCTTTTATGATCAATACTTATTAGACCCTTTACATCAGTTACCTTCAGGGAAATTAGGGCATCCCTCAACTCCACTCAAGTTGTTTTTGCATAGATTCAGCATAGCAAGAGATTGACATCAAAAGATTACATTTAAATTAATAAATTAATGTTTCTTGTGTGCAGCTGAAAGGTACAGTAGTTTTCTTCTTGGTCCCACTCCCAAGTATTTTAATGAAACCCTTTGGTTCTCCATCCTCCTCCACCCAACACTTACCCAAAGGCCGCTGAACAAGAGGCACGTGTCCTGCCATTGATCAACAGGCAATGAAAGAGCTGCCTCTTAAGGCATGACCGAAGCCAACAGTTTGCTTCAATTATGCAAATCAGGTCCTGGCCCTAAGGCCTACATTCCTATATTTGGCTGAGCCTCTGGATGGTGGAGCATGTAAGCCACCACATTAGTAACCAATTTCTACCACTCATAGCCTAGATTATGCACCAGGATTAGATATCCTCTACCATCAACACCTAATAGGAATAACTCCAATTTAATACCCAGTCTCAACCTGTGTATGCATTTTGGTCAGGTGAACCAGAAAATGGCCAAGTGTATATTTGTTACCACTTAAGAGACCTCTGAGTCCAACATTAATACAGGTTTTGCATACCCAAGAACCACTAAGTCATATTAACAAGCAACAATCTACTGAAAGTGTAAAACAGAAAAAAGAACTGTAAACATCCCATCAGACCAAGATCTAACTGCTTATCACTGTCACTCCCTCCAACAGCAACTGGAATTAAACAGCTGCTTCAACATAGTAATACAGTCTAAGGGTGCTTCTCTGATATTGTTTCCTGCAATATATTTATTGGCTGCTATGGACAGAGCAAAATACTTACAACAAGGATAGATGTCACATCACTATGGCTAGCCAGCTGGTACGCTTTTAATAAATGCATTTCTCCAAACATTCCCCTTTTCATTAAAAACTGCTTGCACTATTTGCAGTAACAAAGTCCCCCTGTATCCATGGTTCAGACAGAAAATTTTCATTCATTAACAAAAAATGTATGTTAATTCTAGTCAGTCTCACGTTCATAAGTTGCTGCAAGTACACTGCATACAAAAATATTACACGTGCAGGTCTTCTGAAGATATGTGTCTACATTGTTGTTGGTTGGTCATCTTGCATGTGCTCAGGATGATGTTTCTTCTTCAAGCAGTGTCATTCCCAATTCAGATGCTATTGCTACGGTAACTGCTTTTGCTAGTCCATTCATTGGGGAATGGTGGACCTCTGACCTATTGGTTGCTGTGTATATTGTGCTGATGGTGAGGTCACATCTTCCTGGTCGACTGCCTGTATTGGAGGAGGAGCTTCTCTCATTCTCTGTATATCTCTGTCATTGCAACGATGTATCTGGTCATTCACATTCATCACGTATACTCAAGATAACAACTGCTTTACACAGGTCCCAATCTATCACTTGGGCTCACTCGTTTTGAGAGCACCGAATGTCTGCACTTTGACTGGTTTTCCCATGCTCATCTCCAGCAATGTTTTGTCAGTTTTAATCATAGTGAAATCTGGTTTTGTCATTTCACCATGATTTTGTCAGTCACTTATGTTGATTTATTCTTGGGATGTGTGCATCAATGACTTAGCCAACATTTATTACCCATCCCCAGTTGCCCTTGGGAAGGTGGTGGTGAGCTGCTCCTTGTACTGCAGTAGTCCATTTCGCCCAGATACAATGTCATTGAGAATGGGGTCCCAGGATTTTGCCCTAGCGACTGTGAAGGAATGGTAATATGTTTTCAAGTCAGGATGGTAAGTGGCCTGGAGAAGAACTTACAGATGATGGTTCACCTGCTACTCTTATCCTTCCAGATTGTAGTCATCATAGGTTTGTTTGAAAGGTCTTGTTTAAGGAGCCTTGGTAAATTTCTGCACTGCATCTTGTAGATCATACACCCTGTTGCTACTGAGTGTCAATGGTGGAGCGACTGAAGGTTTGTGGATGTGGTACCAATTTGACGTGGATGGCGTCAAGCTTCTTGACAGTTGTTGGAGCCACTCATCCAGGCAAGTGGGAGTATTTCATCAGATGGTCTGTGAAGGAGAAAACAGAGTTAAACTCTGTGCTGAGGAAGGGTCACCGGACCTGAAACATTAACTCTGTTTTCTCCTTCACAGATGCTGCCAGACCTGCTGAGCTTTTCCAGCAACTTTGTTTTTGTTCCTGATTTACAGCATCCACAGTTTTTTTGGTTTTTATTTAGTATTTCATCAGACACCTGATTTATGTCCTGTTGATGATGGACAGGCTTTACGGAGTTAGGAGGTGAGTTATCTGCTGCAGGATTCCAGCCTCTGACATGCTCTTGTAGCCATAGTATTTATATGGCTAGGCCATACAGTTTTTGATCAATGGTAATCTCCAGAATGTCATGTCATCACTTCTGGATTTACACATTTTTTAGCTATTGGAAAAGTAGTTTAGGTGTGGTATGAGAGCAGTCTTTGTACTGGATACTTCCCATGCCTTGATTAGGTGTATTTCTCCACTCCAGAACAGGCCTGTGCAAGATTGTATTGGATTTGCTCTATTTCTTTACGAGTCTTTGGCATTTTTCACTCCCACCACAGTCTTTCCTGTGTGCGGCTAGCATTGAGGTGATGTATGGGGTTGAATTTCCCAAACCTTTATTCTGGATTCCTTTATTACCTGAATTCGTCATTCGTGAAATGAGATCTTTAATCATCAGAAAGTCTGGAATCACGTAACAGCTGAAGTGTGCTTCTGGCATTCTACAATCTGACTGGTAGTTGTTCATGTCAGCTGACCTAAATATTAGTTAATGGTGAAAATATAATTAGTTCCTATAACAGTAAAGAGCTTCATCCATGGTTGATCTGGAACGTAATGTGCCATATGCAGTACTTTATCTTGTTTAGCTTGTTATTCATTACAAACACTGAGCAAGTGTTTTCCAATAGTTGAATCACTTGCTGTTGACCATCTTGTTCTGAGGTTTGTAACTGGACTGATGCTTTTGACCATGATAGCAGCACCTTGTTAGGAGAGAACACCCCCTGTGCTGCTACTGCATTAGTTGTATGTAAAATCTCTAGCTTCACCTGTTTGTCAAATCTTTTTGAGATACCTAATCTCAGAAAGAAGGGTGCTCTACAGTGGTGGGTTTAGGCCCATTTGTGAGTTTGCGAGAAATACAGCAAGCAACAATCTACTCAGGAAAGCCATTATCACATAACATAAATTTGTGCCTTATTTTAGCATCAAGCTTCTACAGCGAGCGAATGGCTTGCATCTTATGTGTGAAATTGCTGGTAAGGCCAATCTTAGCATGTGGCATATATTGATATAATGAATGTGGCTTGCGGTAGACTATAATAGAGAATCCATTGGTGGATTTCTCATCTAGCAAGTAAAGGAAGGGGAGGGGGTGTGTGGTTTGCTTGACTGCTCCATATTCCCTGTCCCTCCCCACTTAAAGAGATCATCAATAAATTGCAAGTGGCTTATTCCTCTCCACATGGCCTTAACGCCGTGGAATTTAGAAGAATGAGAGGTGACCTTATTGAAATATGCAAGAATCTTAGAGGACTTGACAGGGTAAATGTGGACAGCTTGTTTCCCCTTATGGCAGAGTCTAGGATCAGAGAGCATAATTTGAGAATGAGGGGTTGCAGATAGAGGTGAAGAGGAATTTCTTCTCTTGAAGCTT